CAGTGTTGATCCCAAATGGTTTCAAAACATTCGCAATATGATTCATCAAAATAAAAAACTGGTCCAATCATTCACTCAAGAAATCGTTACATACTAGCAGGCAACGCAAATACATTAACCTTCTTGTAGCTTAATAGTAGTCGGGTGACAAATCTCTCGCCTAAACGAATGTACCAATTTCAATGAAACTTGCCTAAAGTTCTCTCCTCTATAACCTTTAAATTTATCAATATGACGTACTTCTACGAAAAGAAGCTGGGAAAAAAAGTTACAATTGGTGATAGAATTAGATTTTCAAATAACTCAAGAAGTATACGATTTTTGGCGATATTCTAAAGTTATTTAAAAGTTTACGATTTTCACTGAAAAAATTTAATCAAGCAATTTATTGGTTTATTCAAACAAACAATTAATAACACAAACCAATGAACACTCGCCTATTTCGATATATCTAATTTTGATTTTCGCCGTTTTGCTTTATTACAAAAATGTCTAATGATAGAACATATTTAAATAAATATTCTGAATAACAGATTAATTGGACGATAACTCCTCAGTTTCCAGCTGCGTCTAAATATCAGGATATTTACATCTTCACTAATTACCACTAATTGATGAACCACATTATTAACGTCCCTTCCCACCACAAATCATCCTGTCAGCGTTTATTTCATTACATACTCAACCGTAAACAACACAAGAATCGAAAAGACTTTTTTAGTGAACAAGTCCATTTCTTCTCTTTAATTTCTGATAGAAAATTCATATTGTAAAGATGAATTATCTACAAGAAACAACAAATAAATTGTATGCACTTGTCTTTACCCTTAAATTAGCCCTTTTTAAATCGTTCACAGAGATAATGTTAAAATCAACTTTAATTATGTGCAAAAAAAGATCTAAAAAAAAAGTGAACTCCTAGTTGAACACACCTCCCTGAAGAAGACCTGCAAAGTTGAGTAGAAACGGTGGCTTTTAATAAAATAGTTTTGCCACTATTCAGCCTATTTATGACGGCCACCCCGGACCATCTCCTTCCTTTATAATGCAACCGTCAACTATTAAATATTTACTTTTAGACTCTGGCTTTTTCGGCTTTATTAATTATTAAATTTTAAATATTTCAATCGCAAAAAATGTGATGATAAGAGGCATCCTATTGCACATTTAAAATATAAAAATACAATAATGATGATCACATAAGATTCTAAAAATGGTTCGGTTCACCTAAGTTTTTAATTCACTTATAAAATATTAAAATGCTTCAGAATATTTTAAGCACGAAATTCATCAAAATTTGTAATCATTTCCTAAAATTGGGTACAGATCAGTTTTAATTACACTACCTTATGGACCAAATAATAAAATTGGTAAGCAGGAGATTACAGAGAACTATTGATTCACCTATTCTCAAGTTTAGGCTGAACAATGAAGGAGTTTTCTTAGTGTGGTCGTTCTATAACGGTAATATGAAAAATAAATTAAGAGCTATTTCTAGGTGAACTTTATTACTATACAACAGAATAAAACTGTAGAATACAGTTCTATATTACAGCTTCTAAATATGCATAACTTGTGAACAGCTAATTCTCAGTCCGATAGCGAATAAATTAATTATCATATTTGGTTAAATGTAAGGAAAATGTACAGAACAGCGTCTTAAAAAAAAAAATTAAATTAGACATTTCACATAAAGCTAAACAGATATGGTTATTATTTGATTCGCTTTCAGACTGTGTATTAGGAACATTAAAATATAAACAGAATAACTGAAGTACTAAGAACACTCATATGTAAAGCTGAATAACCCGGATCAATAATAAAGTAAATTAAAATTGATAACAATAAATGTAGATGAGAAAAAAATGAACGCAATAGAAAGTATGGGTGATCATGAATATAATCATCCATCCTTTTTTTATTGTATTCAGTCTTTTCTAGTTACTTCGTTTTATATTTAGGTGTTTTTAATATTTCATTTATTCTGTTTATATTTTAATATTCCTAATACTTTTCATTTGCTCTGTTTATAATTTTTTATCTAAATATCTTGTAACTCTCACAATTCCCTATGGCCTTTGGATCTATTTCGTTTCGCTCTGTTGAAGATTTGCATAGTTCGCTTAAATAAAATAGTTGACAGAATTTTAAGTTTTTTTTATGACCGCCACTTCGGATCATTTCTTTCCTCAGCATTATACTACGGTCAACCATTGGGTATTCAATAAATTAATTTATGATAAACATGCTTTGGCTATCCATTATTTTATGGGATCAATATACGATTAATGTTTTTACAAAAAAAAATACTCATTAATCACAATACCTTTTTTTCATAATTAAAAATTCATTTTAACAAGAAATTTGATTTTATCCATATTATAACGTTTCGGCTCTAATAGCAATTTTCAAACATTCCAAGATTGTTTCAATAATAATAATAGTCATAAATATAAATATATATATATATATATTAATTTATAGACAGTTTACTACTCTAGGGTATTATAATTGAAATTATGACTATTTATTGTTTTTTTTTCTTTATCTACAATTCCATTAGTTTTTCTTTCTTTCTCATATTGTTAAAAACAAAAACAGTTTTCCTTATTTTCATCTAGAATTTCTTTCTTCTTCACAAATTAGGTCCTACCCCTAACAGGCTTAGACTGCGGCAATCCCTCCCCACCTACCATGAGAGACCCCTTATATCAAATCTCATCAGTAGGGACTGCAGGTCGGAACGGAATGTCCCACCACTGGAATTCGTTCCAGTTCTCGTTCCGCTCCATCTTCATTCCGTACAACTCTTGGAATGAGATAGAGAATAATGAAGCACAAGTGCAAAACTGAACAGATACCCAGCAAAGAGTATTTTACATAACACAATGATAGGATCATATCAAGTGCTGATTTGATCAGTAGAACAGATACCCAAATTTATGCATCGGCGACAAAGAAATTATGGATATAAAATACCACTTCCATCCCATGCAAGAGAATATTTTCAAAAGCTAGTATGTTGATTAATGAACGGCAGCCTCTATTATCGCCTGCTAAAAAAAAACCTATTGTTTTTAAATTCCATTTTTTAAAATATTATTTGTACTTGGTTTGGTTTTTTGGTTTACTTGGTGTTTTGATTTTGCTGGTATTGTTTTAAAATCAGTACTATTTTTTTCCGTTTTATTTTTTTCTTGATTTTTATATATAATTCTGCAATAATATTCATTTCTTATTATTAAAATTCATATATTTGAGTAATTCATTTTTCTTAATATTCCCTTACAGCACAGTCCCAGGAAAATGTAAATAATATAATCCATTTATCTTTTCTATTTTACTTAGTTCTTGTAATTATACTTTAATTAATCTATTCCATATAAATTTAACCCAAAAATAGACGCTTTAATCAGTAAAAATTATTATAATTGAACTAAACGTCGAAATCCCCAAACCAACACAAAGCCGCTAGTTCCGTTCCAATATCATTTCAACTTTGACTTGGAATGAGACCACTCCCACGAATTCCGAACCATTCCAAAGGTGGAATGGTTTCCTGGAACCAGTTCAAGCCGTTCCGTTCCGTTTCATTCCGAGACCGCTCGTTCCGTTCCATTCCAAGTCGGTCTATTGATTGGGATCATTCATTTGGACATTGTTCATTCCATTCCTTCTTCGGTCCGTTCTTAAAATATGACGAACAAAAAAAATATACGTTAATTTATTACTAAACGCCCACATTATTAATTTATTAAAAAAAATCATTTTTCACATTAAAAAATGTATTCAATATTGAAACATTTTATCTCTTATGACATATAACGTCGGTAAAGAAAGGAAAATAAAATGTGAAATCTGATAGTTTCTAATGCATAATAATTTTTTTAACTTCCAATAATATAAAATCTTTCATAAAAATTTCAATTATATATCAGAATCACATTTTTTATTCAGAATTCTAAAGTCATTTGGTTAAAGTAATTATTTTTGTTTTTATTTATCTGAATGTTGTCATTTTAATTTACATTTATTTAAATTCTTAATTATTCATGATTTGGATTAAATTATGTTCATGATTCAATAAGATTATATTTTAATAAAATTTGATCTGGTGTAAGAAAATTAAATTGAGTATAGTCATGATTCAATTAGTTTATATTTTAATAAAATTGTATTTGATGTAAGAAAATTAAATTGAATACAGTCATTAGGGTTCATTTTTGAAGTGGTCCTGGTTCATTCCACAATTGTGCTAATTCACTTCCGTGGCAACGAAGTATTCGATTTATGTAAATCGCTTCTGAACTATATTGGATTCCTTTTCCGATTACTTGACCATCGAAACCTAAAGACGTCCACTTTTGACCTTAAATTTAATTCCATTAGAACCAAATCGTATAGGGTCTCGTTCCAAAGGAGGAATTCGTTCCGTAAACGGTTCCGTTCAGATTGGTCCATCTCTACTCATCAATATTGACGAAAACAGTGTCAATGTCAATAATTATAAGATGATTATTGAAAATTTCAGAATTTATTTCAATACTTTCAGTCAAAGGTAAATCAAAAACTTCCTCTTCGCCAAAATATCAGTAGATCACTTTTACTAGCGATATATTCAATTACAGCAAAAATGAATAAATATTACTTTTCTGAATGAATATAGTTAATCATGAAAAATTCACTCAATACAATATTATCCACAGAAATAATATTAATTTTCATTTTAGTTAATATAATTTTCACAAATAAAATACTTCAAAATTATGTACATAAATTCATTGCTATGCAATTTTTTCTATACATAATTCCTTTTTGTTATTATTTCTGACGCTTGGTGAGAAGTTTAAACATAAATAATGAAATAGCTCTAATTATATAATTTCAAATTTATTTTTTTTAAATGAAATAAAGCTCTGCTTCTTTACAGAGATATATTAATGTAAATATAATTTGCTTCAAAAAGTTTCTATAAATATTAAAGGAGAAAATGACATAAATAAATCGTTTAAATTGTGTTTTATTACTACTCAAAATAAATTACATAATGAAACAATATATAAAACAAGTTATTACAATAATCTTAAATAATATAAATCAGTTTCTTAATGAATTCTAAGTATTCGATAATATAATAGTTCTCTCAAACTCGAGCCATAAAACGAAATGTAAACAAACTTTGACCATAAACATTCGGGCGCAAATTTCGTGCAGTGGTAGGTTAAGGTCAACACATCGCCAGCTGATAAGAACTCGTGGAATAAACAAAATGCGAAATTTCTCAATTATATAGGCATGTATATGTTTTTTATGAAAATTTGATTAATAAACTAGACTTAATCTCGAAAGCGTCATTTCAACTTTATTACATGGTCCCTTAAAGTGTAAACAATCATCAGTTAACAGTGATCTATGAGTAATTAATTTGAGGCTATATACAGACTTATATTAAAATTTCCAGGTAAAATAGCCTATATTATAAATATTGAACAGCATACTAACCTATAGAGGGGTAGATGTTATTATCACTATTTAGTGTTATTGCAAAATATCACTGCACACACTGTATAACTAATAACCGCAAGATAGCCTCACAAGATAATCAGTCGGAATATTTTCGGTATAGCATTTGGAAGTTTTAAACTCGTCGAATATAGTTTAGTGAGAGTTAGTTGTTGCCTCTGCACCTGCCATAGACTGACTAACTCAAACACAAACCAATTCTTCCCTTGACCTATATTACCCTTCTTTTGCTAATTCGTTTTTCTTTTTTAGTTAAGAATTTTACCATTGAATTCGAACTGTGCCTTCTTATATGCTATGACATCCTTTTGAAACGTAATCGTAGAGCTGAGATCTATAATCTTAATTAGTGATTAGATAAGCACGTCTACTGTGATTTAGCTATCCTAGTGATAGGATTTGTAAGTTTGACTTTTAAAGCACATGTAGATTTTAAAAATTGACAAGTATGTTGAAAATAGACGATGTTAAAATTGGTACACTTCATGATTCACAATATGTCATTCCATTTAGAATGAAATATATTCAAAACGGTGTTTCTAAAATATGGGACTTGGTCAAGAGCCATGGTAGCGTAGCAGTGATTATTTTCAATGTTTCTAGAAATGTTTTAGTCTGTGTAAAACAATTTAGACCAGGAGTCTATTTGAATAGTATACCTGATTGTGACAAAACAGGTTCTATTGATACTAGCAAATATCCTGCAGAACTAGGTGTGACATTAGAGTTTTGTGCTGGCATTATTGACAAAAACAAATCTCTGGAAGAAATTGCTACTGAAGAAGTTTTAGAAGAATGTGGTTATGAGGTTAGTCCCAGTAATCTAGAAAAAATACAAACTTTCCGGTGTTCCGTGGGCATATCAGGTGATTTTCAAACTTTGTATTATGTTGAAGTTAATGATAGTATGAAAGTAAGTGAAGGTGGAGGCGTTGACACTGAGGTTATTGAAGTTGTTGAACTGTCATTGGATGAAGGAAGAGAAATTTTGGCATCAGCATCACCTACAGCACCTGGTGAATTTCTTTATGCATTGTTGTGGTTTTATAACAATAAATGCCCAAAAAATGATTGTAAGTAGTCTTATTTGTGGTTAATAGTTATCTAAGTATTTATTTTGCTACCATACATTAAGTAAAAAGTACAACTTTTTATTGAACATTGTATTAATAAAATTTTGTTTGTTCTAAATTAACGATTTATTGTTTGTTTGTTGTTTTGTTATTCCTTTATGTAGACAAATTGTGGTAGGTAATCCAACTTGTTATGAAGTGATTTTAGAACCACACTAAGTACTTTTATTTCATGTCATTTTATAAGTTCGTCACAATAAAAAATTTCTGTAATCACATGTCAATTAAATTACAAGATTAGTTTATAACAAATAATATTCGTTACATGTCTATGCTTGGCCGTAGGATGTGATTCTAGTAGGTTGTTAAAACATAGATATCCTGAAAGTAGCATTATTTCTATATGTATAAGGAAGTGATTGGTCTTGATAAGGTCCGATCCCATCCCAAGGAGACCTGTTGGAGTTAATTCATTTAGGAAGCGTAGCAAGTAAATCCGTGAATATAGTGCCAACACTCCACTACCTTAGGAATTCTGTCTGGAGTGTGATAAATTTTACCTGTCAACCAGGTTTAGCTTAAGACTAGTATCTTATTTTTGAATTTAATTTAAAGTACAAACTTTGTTCAGTGGTTATAAAAAATCATTTATAGTTAAAGAAAGGATGTCCATTCCTAGTTTAATAAACTTGAAATCATTATATTACATCAATAACTAATTATTAGTAGAAAAAGGCCTTTTAAATCTCGATAAATAATTGCTGTATTTCAAATTTTTGCCTCTTTAGGGATGATCTGACTTTACTTATATTTTAAATTTTCATTCGCTTATAGCAGTGCACACTTAGTCAAAGAACACAACAGAATGAGACCAATCCTTCAAGCTATTCAGTTCTGTTCTTTGACTAAGTGTGCAAGTGGGTGCACTGCTATAATTGAATGAAAATTTAAAATACGTGTAAAATAAGATTATCCCTGAAGAGGCGAAAATTTGGATAAATTTTAAGTAAAGCAATTATTTATCAAGACTGAAAAGGTCTTTCTACTAATTCTTATTATAGTCTCTTTCTCAAGATCTTCTTTTCTCAATAATTAATATATTTCTAGAGTAGATTGACCATGCTTGCTGGATTTCCATCTGGACATCAGCTGGAAGACTTCATGGTGAATCATTATTAGACCTTTATACTTTGTAGACTTGTCAAACAAAAAGGCATGTTATATACTCAACCCCAGAATTGTAACGTGGGAATGAAATGTTAGTTTTTTTTTTTATATATTGCTGAATTCAACTCTAAAGCAGCCCTTACACAATCAATAATATGGACAGTGTTATTGATTATGTAAAATTGATGGATTGAAGTCAAATTCTGTGGAATAGTCCTTCAGTATATTATTCAATACAGGCAGCAAGGAGTGCGGATGTTGACAGTATTACTGTTAGAGAGTTATTTAACTTTACTCATCATTTCAGTAATTGTACTAGCCAGTGACTGTTGTATATATAATTTATTTCCCTCATTAATTATATTTTATAATTATGATGATCTAGTGCCCAGTGCAACTATTCTTTTTAAAATTAATATTTTTGTAGGGTCCAATAAGAAAAATAAGTCAACTGAAACAAATGAATACATTAAATTTACTGTGCACACATGTGTATGTTATTTATCTCCCTTATGTATTGTACTATATAATTAAAGGATATCTACTGTAACTATTATTTTTTAAATTAATATTCTTTTCAGGTCAAAAAAAAAAATTAACAAACTTAACATCTATAATAAAAGAATATTTTAAATTTAATTTATGCTTAGAAGATTCTCTGTTTTCCCGTTTTGAGTCCTATTTTTATTTTTGAGTAATCCATTTCTTTAATATCAGACTTCTTAAAGTTTCCAAGTTTTTATCTATACCAACAAATTTAGCTGACTTGAAAGAACAAAATTAGATTTTTTTCAGAACTTTTTTTTCTCTAAATCCATTAACCCACTAGAGGTGTGCTTAATTTTCTTCAAAATATGTAAATAAATAAATAAATTTAAATTTCTTAAATTATTTCTTTCAAAAAATCAAACCTTTTTTAAAACTATTTTTCTTATAATAATAATGTAAGACAATGCCTAATGTCACTGCCTGATTCATATTTTTTGACCATAGGTTTTAGAGCACTGGAACGGTCTAGTATTCAGGCATTGGAGGATTTTTACCTGTAAAGTAGGACTTGTGTAACTGAAAATGCCAAACAGTAGCGGAGGCGGGGTTTTATTTTTTGGAGGGAAAATTTTTTTTTTTAATAATGACCATTCTTTCTTTCTTTCGATGGCACTATGGTCCTTAAAGAATCCTGACCTCCTCCACTATACTCCCATATTTGTCCCTGTCCATAATTTTCAACCATAGGTTTTAGAGCACTGGAATGGTCTCCTCCACGTCCTCCAGCCACTGCAATCTGGGACGTCCTCTTCTTCGTCTTCCACCAGGGTTTCCGTCCAGAAGCTTTTCGGGATGCAATGCTCCTCCATCCTGTGGTAATGCCCCAGCCACCTAATTCCACTCTTCTTGATATAGGTGACAATATCTGAAGCCTTGTATAGATCACGGAGCTCCTGATTGTTCCTCTGGCTTCACCGATCTAATAACAATCATTACTGGAACAATAATACTTTTAGGGATATAATTTTTCTTTACGAATATTCTAATTATATACTTAATAATTTAAAATGAGAATATATTGTGAGTTTTAAAATTGTTGACTTAGATAACTCATAGATATAAATATAAACCATCGAAAAAAATATATATATTTTTTTTGCAGTTGAGGGGAGGGATGGGGGGTGGTTGCATCAGCCTGAAAGTGGCAAATGAAGAATTTGAGGTTTGATCAATGTTTCTCTAGTAAGTGCATTATTTATAATATACTTGGCTTATATTAGGAAAATAGGATTATATAATAAAAATATCTTCTTATTTTATTGTTACAATTCACTATATTTGATTATAAGGCAATATATTAATAATAATTTCCATAAAACTACAAATTAATTATTTGTCAATGGTTTATTTCCAATTTCACAGTTAAAGGATATATAGAAATGGAATATTTCTCTATTTTATTCACTCATAATGTATTGTTAATATCTGTGTGATCTATAAAGTTTATTTTGCTCCTTAAGATTAACAATGTTTCGTGTTTCAAATTGGTTCTTTTCTTGTTTTCTAATTGTTTAATATTTAAGAAATAGTTTTGAAATAAAAAAAATCTGGTGCGCGAATCACACGACTTTCATCACACTTATGGACACACGACGATCACCAATTTCTTAGCAGAAACAAGTATTTTCAGACCAAGGGGAAGTAAAAGTAAAAATTATAGGCGTTATACTTATTTATATTTCATTGTGGGTGTTTCTATTTGTTTGATTAAACTTAAATAGACAAATTTTAATTTTTATATCGCAATAATCTATACAATTAAATAATACCAACGATAGCATTTATGAAAACCGCATGTGTATATGTACATAATATTGTCGGAGCTCGTATGATTTTAAGCTCTTGTTAGTATGAAAGCCTGTTGCAATCTCTCTGGTGAGCTCAGGTACTCTCGTATTCCTTTGGTTCCTTCATTTCAACCATTATCTGTTACGATCTTTTATTTCTCCTTTAGTTAATTATCAAATTCGTTCATATTTTATATTTAACTATCTTTTACATTATAAATTAATGTGGAATGGTCAATCGTTTCAAATAAAAAAAAATTAAAGGTACTTTAGAGAAAGCTAATATTGAAAATTAGCCATTTAAGCTCTGTTAGAGAACATCACTCAGAATAAAAACTACATTTTATTTAAAACTGCTTAATTTTACACTGGTATGATGAATTTAATCTAAATCATTAGAGCTGTTTTCGAGAAAATAGTAAAAGTATGTTTAGTTTACTTGCAATGAGCTGATTTTGACGAAAAAGTTACTGTAACATCTCTAGCATATAAAAACCTCTTAGATGTGCAATTTCACTTTCGTACGACTTTTCGTTTTTTAGCTAGACCTTTTTGCTTCCTCACTACCGAAGGTAGAGAAGCATTGTGTTCGTGCGAGAGATTAAAAAATTTTTTTTGCTCAGAATCGAAAATTTTCACTCGCGTTTTACGTTTCAGACATCAAGGATCAAATTTGGTTCGGTGTTTGTCTGTAGTCAAATCGATGTGACGGGCATATCACCTAGTACCGTTCATCCTATCTTCATGAGGGATTATTTCAGGAATTATGCTGATTGGTGCCTAGAAGGTCCTATATCAATTTTATCAAATTCCACCCAGCACTTCCGTTTACGCACGCGCAAACGTATATTTTTAGATATGCCAATATTTCAGAAAGGGCTCGTTCGATTTGGCTCAAAGTTAGATAAAAGGTAGACTTTGGTAAAAAAATAACGTAGTGTCAATTTGATTGAATTCTGTCCACCACTTTCTCTTATATATGCACTACTAGTCCGCTGTCCGCCGTCCGCGCATTTTTTCCGAAACTACCGGACCGATTTTCTTCGAATTTGGATATAAAATCAGAGGTCACCAGAGGATGATCCTCCTTCAACGACATTACTATTAGCCTTCTTGTTTCAAAATGGCGGCCGAAAAAACTGCGTTGCTATAGACTGTAGCGCCTAAACGAATATACCGATTTTAATGAAACTTCGCCACAGTCATTTTCTCTACACCCTTTAAATTTATCTATATAATATACTTCAACGAAAAGAAGCTCAAAAAAAAGTTACGAGGGATGGTAATATTAAATTCCGAATAACTCGAGAAGTATACACATTTTTGTTAATATTGTATATGGATTTTTAAAAGTTTGATAAATTTCCTAAAAAAATTGTTAAAATCGGACAATTAGGAGCAAAGATATGGTCTCTAGTTTTTTTTTAGATGTGCTATTGCAAAAGGTTTATCTTTTGTTTTAATTTTTTAATGTGTTACTGAAGTAATGCTATTTTTTAGCATATTACTAATGATTAAAAAAAAGTTTAGTCCAATAATTGGAATCACCTTTATTGTTATTTGTTATGTTTATTATTGTTCTTTATAACTAGGAATTTAATGTTACTTTATATGTATAATTGTTTTTAAATAATATACCATAGTGAAATAATTTGCCGTGGATTTTTTTCAAATTAATTATCGATATATATATATATATATATATATATATATATATATATATATATATATATATATATATATATATAAATCTTTCGGGCTGAAGCCCCTCTCCTAAAATTAAATCTGGATCCAGTAGGGTATATCACTATTATTAAAGCAAAAGTTCGTATTAAAAATTTTATTATAAGTAGTCTGCTACTATGGAAAATAGCAGATGACAATAAAATATGAAATTATTCTAATAAAGCATAAAGAAATAATGAGTTTTTATGCACTCTTGTAAAACAATAAATAAATTTTTACGTAAAACCTTTTGCACTATCAGTATTGAAAATTATGTTCAGTATGCATTTTTTTTTTAAGCATAATCAAGTATGGAATCTTCAAATACGACACTCTTTTGTTGAATGTTGAAGGGAAACTGTAATCGGCTATTCCGATTCTGCTTCTCTCAGAGATTTTATTCTCATACGAAAAATTGTATACCTTGTAATATACAACGGAAACGGTGAGGAAGCTATACTGACCTTACTTGGCACTTTTTTTTTTTTTGCGAGACTTGGTTATTTGAATTCAGGGAAACTCAAAACACGTATTTCCGCAGAAAACTCAGAGTCAAACATTTTCACAATCGTAATACCTATCCTCACTATATTTTGCATATATAGTTAAGTGAAAGTAAAAAAAAAAAAAATCTGGTGCGCTCAACACACAACTTTCACTTACCGCTCAACTTTGAATATATAGAAAATATTTTCTGGCCATCTTGGGCTATTAAAATAAAATTTTTGAATTGCATTTTTTACAGAGCTGAAGCTAAAAAATTGCAGCTAACAAATCATTGCATCATAACAAATAATACTATTAAAATAACAAAAGTCCTATTTATTATATCACCGGTTGATTATGGATTGTTCGATCCGTTGATTATGGATTTTACGACTATTAATTATTAAACTGTTATTATCCATTACAAAGTTTATTAAAACGGAATTAAGAGATTTGCATTGTCTGTCATAGACAGGTCAAAAGTTGTCACACTAATTATAAGTGGATTCTGTTGGAACATCGAATATGGGAAAATTTGTCAAATTATTCACTAATTTTCTAAAAGGTTACATAATGATTTTCGTTATAAACAGAAGATAGATACCTAATTATTTAAAAATAATGTCAGATCTAGAGTTATTAAACTACCGTAAATATATTCAAGGTTATAAACGTATCCATGAAATATTTCTATATTTCATTTCTTTCTTTCACACAAGTACAATGAAATAGTATCTTAAACAATGTCCTCGCCTGGAATCCGTGGGCTTTAAATACTTTTCCAACTTTAAAAAAAAAATTTAAAAGTTTAAATTTAGCCAGAAAATTTCATTTAATTTTCTATAAAAAATGTAATTAAAATTTGTTTCGCCACTCTTCGTTACCTTTACAACTTTCTATATTAGATATTGTTTTTTTCTAAAATTCTCCGCTTGCCAACGATATATAATTCGTATACCTTCTGACCAGTATTTCCGGAGATTCATTTTCGATTTGAATAAGTATTTTTACTTTTTTTCTCCTTTATTTAACTATCAAAATCTTCCAAAAGTTATATTTAGCATTTTTCCATAACTCCTAACAATGATAAATAGTTATTATTTATAATAAACCAAATTAAAGGTACTTTAGAGGAAGATATGATAATGTTGAGATTTCATAAGGAGAAAATTCATCAAATTTTGAGGAAAAAGTTGCTAGGTCATCTAAGGCATATACCTATCTTAATACGTAATATCAGTTTCGTACGGCTTTTCAGCTTCGAGCTAGAGTGTTCACACACACACAGACCATTTTTCGGGACTTGGTTATTTGGACTCAGGGAACATCAAAACGTGTGTTTTCTTTGAAAACTCAGATTCAAAAATTTTTACGATCGCAATACTTATACTCGCTAAATATTACATGTATAGTAAGTGAAAGTAATATTATTATAAAATATTGATAAAAATTAAATTTTGAGAAAAAAAAATTAAAACAGTGAAATGGCATAAAATATTACCACATTTTCTTTTAATATCTTTTTAAAAAATAGAAGGGGGAGTAGAGACTGACTTTCTCTCGCTTCGACACTCATTTGCACAGCCTCCACACTGACCAATAGTAGTGTCAAGGGGATCAGAGATTTTCAGTCACAGTTCCAACAGTGACAGCTCTAGGAAAATCACTGTGACAAACAACAAGGATTTTTCACTCTTGGTGCTAAGAGCTGTTGTCGGGGATAAGTATACAAGTGCTCAATGGCTCAGTTAAATCGCAGTTTACCTATGTTAAAATAAAAAATAGATAATATTATGTGAGGAGCTAGGATTTTGGTGAAAAATAGAATATTTGACTGGGATCCCTTGGCTCCTGTATACAGCCCTGCAGAGAATATTTGAGTTTATTTAATTTGTAATTCAATTACTATTTTAGAAATAATTATGCCTTTAATCCATTTATTTTATAAATGTTGTCAACAGTGTCCAGATCGCTGGAGCGGCAGCAGTGATGAAGTGGAGTAATTAGTAATTAGAGCTGTGATTTTACAGAGCCTACAGTGACCGTCACTATTCGAAAAACATTGATTTCACAGCGCCTACAGTTACCGTCACTTTTTGAGCACAGTGATCTGAGGGGTGATTTCTCAGTACTGTGCACTAACGGATCCAGGATTTAATTTTGGGGAGGGGCGCTTCAGCCTGGAAGATTTTTTTTTTTGGGTGGA